ACAGGTCTTTATCCTTACTCTCTCCTCCTCCACTGAATTTAAGAAAGTCAGCCCTGTTGTCCGGGTGTAGCCTAAAGGCAATGACGGAGTACCTTCACTACGGTTGAGAATGTGCTTGGACAGCCACACCAACGAGCCTGGCACTTTGGCATTGCGGTCAAAGCTGCATGATTGGTACCCTGTAGAGGTAGGGTGACTGCTCTGGCCCTTCGCTACACGCTGCCTATACTAGAAGTTGACATTGAGAAGCTCCCTAAACAAATTGTTGAGTATACATTTCTGCCCACAAATTTTGATACAACATCGTATTTTATTATTGAGCTTTAAAGGTGCTGGTAGGCTTATTTGTTTTACTTTGGACAGAACCAGGATTGCTTATCCTCCTTTGCTCATTATGCTAAGTTAGGCTAACTACGTCTCCCCTCACTCTCTGAGAAAGCTATTTCCCAGTATGCTGAGTCATTACTTTAAAGATTTTCAGCACATTTGCAATGTTTTTCATGAGTTTACAATTTAAAAATATTTGCAGTAAATATAATGCACGTGTTGTTTTACTATCTTTCTCATAACTTCATGTGCCATCAGGCATGTCATCATTCTCTTTATTCACCACATTTTCCTTTCATCACGCTGGCTTTTCCATTTTGGACAGCATGTGTAGCTCTCGCCTGGCTGCTCCCCAGAGACTCTGACATCCACCGGAGCAGAGGCCAGTGACACGTATGATTGATGATCCCCAGAATGGAAGGGAGAGAGATGGACAGGTTCCTTTTATCGGGATTGAGGGCTGACTAGATTAAAATGCAGTTGTACAACACCTCCTCCCCCCTTTTTTGGCATCCCCGTCGGCCTCCTCAGCATCCCCTCTCTATCCCCTGTCAGTCACCTCACCTGACGGCTGGGAGTTTTTCCCTTATCTCCTCCGCTGACCCCTCATCCCGCCTCCCCACTTGAGGTGACACAGTGCAGACGTGGCCAATTGTGTGAGACTTTAACCAGTCACTTCCAAATTGACTTGAGGTGTTTTGTTATTTGCTTCTGCAGAGAAGTGTGAGAGAGAAATCTCAGTGGAGCATTTCTAACACCATCTGCAAAAAGCTGGTTGGTTAAAAAAAAAGAAGAAGTATGAAATGTGTTGGAACATAAATCGCAAGTCGCGCTCTGCAGCTAACCACAATCAGCCCTTGAAATAACATGCAGAGAGCTGAGGGGACGTTCTCCTTTTTCTCACTCACTAAGTGCTGATTAAAAGAAAAGAGACAATCACTCTCATTCACTGGCGTGCAGCTGCCTCGTTGTCAGATGGCGGAGTGGGAGATTTTTGTGGAGGTGCTGAAAAGATGTCTCACTGAAAAGGTTCTGCATTTGTTTTTCAGATGGCTCTCTAATGACTGGATGTGATTAACACAAATTATCTCACTTATCACAGCTCAACAGGCTTAGATAGACAATCTTTGGGTGCATTCCCTGCAATGCTACTTAACATGCATTTAATCAGACTCAGCAGTATCACATGAGCAAGGACAGCAATGAGCAGATTTCTCTAGCAGAAATACTCTGCCTGTGTAATTTCTCTTTGTGACATTAAGGAAGATATTATCCCAAAAGTGATAGAATTGTGGAGTCAGTTTTGTGTCAAAATACGCCATATTCTGTTTTCCATGTTAGCCTGTGCTTTGTTAGTGCTTTGTTAGATGGTATCATGCCGATCCCCTGGGGAATCACTCTGCTCTGCTCAATTTGTTCATCGATGACATCAGTGCTGTGTGTTGTGCCACCTTTGTGTGTAGGTTTTAAACACACATGTTTATTTGTTTTAAGAAAGACTTTGCAGTGCACACACTGACACAGTTCTAGGCAGGGTCGCTTGCAAAGGATGAGGCTGGAGTTATTTTAGGTTTTTCACATGATCAACAAATCACTCACGGAAAGGCCAAAACCAATTATCTCTTAATACCTCCCTACTATCCTACTATGTCTGCGGAATTCAGGTCACTGGTTCCCACTAAAGACATAATGTTTCATTTTTAAATGAAACTTACACTTTATTACAGCTTGGGTTTTATGTTTTTAGCTCGGGCCATTGGTAACGAAAACAGCGTGTGCACCAAAGTAATGGCTGAGGTTTCACAATTCTACATCATCGCTTCAAAATAGGTCCAAGTGGTCAGACAATTTCACAGGTTTTAAACAAACTTATTTGGAAGAGAAATCAAAGGTGATAAAAATAAAATTCTTACCCAAACTCCAAAGACCAAGTTCCTGCCTCCACTTTGACCCACCAAACTGTGTGTGCGCTCACGCTTTTCCTGTCAAAAGAGAATTATTACGTAGCAATTTGGTTGGGCTTTTTCTAGTCATACCTCTAAATAAATGGGTTCAGATAATCCAGCTACACTTTTGATCTGATTGTTTAATTGCTTGTGTCCCTTACACCACTGGACCTGGTTCTAACAATGTCAATACAGGAGTACACTTTGTTATTGTAACTAATACAAGCAATGGCCAGAGTTACAAAGATGACACCCAAGTTGTGATTAATGGCAGTTTTGCTTTCAAAGGACAGCAGGTCATTGTAGCTTTTGGCAAACGTTACTCAGATGAGAGGAACTAGTGCGTTTGTTGGGGTCTGTTAGCAGCGGATTGAGTATTTGGGGCAGCAGGTCAGCGTCTGTGGGACTGAGTCAAAATAAACTAAATGCAGAGTGTGTTCATGGTAGAGTAGAGTGAGGCTTTATTTTCCCAGAGAAGGAATTTGGCTAGCAGACGGCAGTCAAAAGGACAGACAGTAATTAATGAAAATGGCACTATAAACAATAGATATACGTACAAGATATACATACCTACACTAATAAACAAGTACACAGCTAGTCACAGCCCAAAACATTTCATCCTTTTGTTTAAAAAAAAGGCACAAAGGCAGCTGTAGGAATAAAAGACCTCATGCATCTGTTTGTTGCACCTCTAGGGAAGTAAAACCTCAGGCTTGATGGAAGCAAATTAAACTCTTTATTTGAAGGGATAGTCCAATAAGATGACCTGAGCTTTCTGTGTGGCAAAGATCATGTCAGTTTATGCCTGTAACTTTATAGCACACATTCACAAATTTTACCAACACGTTTTTGTTCTTCACACACTCATCATAGCAAATGTTAAAACTGACTCAATAAAAAGAAGTATAAACTCTTTTCAACAGAGACTTGTCCACAGTAAAATGCTGGAACTTGCTCAAGAAACTCAGAAGTTTTAATGTTGAAAAGTAATGAAGGAACATGTGTGGCTCATTGATGAGTTTTAATAGTTTTTGAAACAACAATAGAGCTCTGGCACAGAGGAAGAAGAGATATCCGGCTTTGATACATACGCAGTACTTGTTGGTAGGATACATTAAGATCTTTTGGCGTTTTGGGATGCTTTTTTTGTCAGCACCTCTGAGTCGCTTTCACAGTAGACCAGACCAGATATGACCAGATACCAGAACATGTCACCATCGACATCTGTCTGTGAACTTATATATTCTGTATGATCCAGTCATACTGAACGCTTCCTCGCAGGGCCATCTGTGAGTGAGCTGCCCAGGCTGTGTTTAAGCTGCTGCCGTCTCTTCAGCCAACCAGAATTTGACCCTATGACCCTGCAGGCACTGGAGGTCACGCCGTCACAGCTGACGGACCGGAAGTCACCATGGGGCCATTTTATTCTATGGAGAGCTGAGGGTCTTCAGAGAGACATAAAACTGCCAGGGGCATTCAGAGGATTGAAGGGAAAAATAGAAATGTTAAACCTGCACGCTGAAGTCAGAAACTGTAGGGATTCAAACAGCAAATTTGTAGTGAATGCACATTTAATTTGCATTTCATATGCCCTAGTGTGTCTACCCTGCCCCCCCACTACCCTGTGCCATGCCTCATCTATCAATAAAGAATATCAATTCATATAGCTTTCACTGGTTAACTGTTATGAGGTCAGTACATACATACCCCAATATCCAATTAAAATAAATAAAAATAAAAAAAGTGATCACTGAGTAGTTTAGCTAGTTTGAGGTTGAGTTTTATCTATTTGTTGTAAGTTACAATCAAACAAATTATGTATGTAATCTGCAAGGGGTTTACTTCTTACCTCTACCCAACATGCTCTGCAGGACTCATATATCGTTTTTACATCACCATGTTTGAATTTTTCTCTTGTACCTAAAATTTGAAAAACATTAATTTTAGAAATTGTAAGACATTTCTGAAATAAAGGAGCTGGTGGAAGTGAAAGCTTTTCTTAATAACGCAGGATAAAACTAATAAAAATGGAGAAAATCTGTCCACCTGAGAATTAGTAAACACCAAGAAATTAACGTTTTTGATCCTTGTACCTACAGACACAGTTTGGTTACACAGTCCTAAGAGACAGATGAATGGATCTGAATGCAGATACTTGTGTGTACGTTTATAGTCACTCTCCCTAAAAAAATAGAACCCAATCCATATTCTGATTGGCATACTAAGGCCTTGCTCCGGCAGCTGGATATGTGGATGATGATGATGATGAAATATCAGAGGTGGTGCTGGTGTTAGGAGGAAAGGGTGTGTGTTTGGGGCAGCATAAATTGTGTTAGCTACTTCATTGAAAGACAATGGAGGACAAGATGTTGTGTGTAGTGTCACCCACGTGCTTCTGCACCACTATTGTCTGCTCTGCTTCCCTGAAAGAGGGGAGACGGAGGGGTGAAAGGAAGAGGAGGAGGATGTGGGTTAGTTGACTGCTGTGTGTGTGCGTGCATGGGGAGAAGCACAGACGGCTCGTGGTAATTTGATGTGTGTCCCCGGGGATGTTTGATGGATTAATGCTAAGCAGCTCCCTCTTCCAAAGCACCACCTGATCTTTGGGGCTCGTGCCCCACATATAAAAGGCTGCAGTAGTGCTGAGCTCAGCTAGTCCAGCCATCTCTCTCTTTCTCTCTCTCTCTGCCTCAGTTTCTCCTTCACCGCTTTCTATCTTCCTCTCCATTCTCCCTGTCCTCTGCTTGCTCTCTCTCTCTCTCTCTCTGCTGCTTACATTACATTTTTGTCTTTCCCATTCCCTCTGGCTTTAAACCATTTCCAGGACAGATTTGTTGTAAACCTCTTTTTCAATCCTCCGTTGTCTGGCCTATTGAAGAAGGCCGCCTGGAAGCTCAGTACATTTCTGCTCTTTTCTTTTTTTTTTTTTTTATCATCAGTTTGTTCACATTTTTCTATGAGGCCCTAGCATCAGTTTTTCATCAGGGGAAAAAAAAATGCCACGCTCTTTTTTGGTGAAGCAGCCGAAGGTTCACGATTGCTCCTCTTCCAACTACTACCATCAGCACCAGCAGCACTGGGACGACTCTTACACTGTGACACATGCCATCACAGAGTCGGCCACCAACTTGGCGGTGCGTTTGAGTGAAAATGGTGAGTTGACATCTCTCTGAGTTGTGTTTTCAACTTTTTTATCCCTTTTTCTGCTGCAGTAGCTATTGATTTCTTCATTTAGAGATGATCCATACTAAAATGAAGAAAAGAAAATCTAAAATTACAGATAGGGATTCACGCAACAATATTTCTTATTGTCTCTGCTACCTAATCGCTCTCGGAAACCCCCAAACCCCCCACAGGCATCGCTCACCCCCCTTCCATATGCCTGAGGACTTTTGTTTTCTAACTCGGCGGATGCTAAATAGTATTCAGGTCACGCTGGCTCAATCTGCTTAATGCTCAAACCAGATCACACAGCAGCCTCTGGTTTTAATACTATTGTGTACATGAATTATGAGATATACATGTACGTGGCCATTAGGCACAAAATCTGCAAGCCTTTGTCAGGTCCAACTAGAAAGACGGGGAAAAAAAACCTCTAGAGAAAGCAGATAGCCACATGGGACTGTGTTGTCCTTAGATGGTGCAGTTGCCCTTGAGTCTCTCCTCTTATCAACCCCCCCCCCCCTTCATCTCTCCATCTGATCCTGCAGGATGCTAGATAGCCACAGGGAGTAGGATTGCAGCAACACAATCCATATGTGGAGCAGCGAGAGGTGATGGAACAGGGTTTTTAGAGGACGGGTATTGACTGGAAAATAGAGAGTGCTGCAGGTAATTCAATAAAGTGCAACATGAGCAGGACATTGGCAGACAGTAGATTTTCATCCGTGGGATTTCTACGGAGGCTGGATGTGAGAACAACCCTGCAATACAAACAATATGGTGTGTGTGTGTGTGTGTGTGTGTGTGTGTGTGTGTGGCTTTGAGAAACATCCAAAGAAATGTGTGCTTTGAGCGGACCCCCCCCACACACACACACACCACCACCAGCAGCATCACAGATCTTGTGTTTGAGTTGAATCATTTGTCCCCCAGATTTAGGATGCCAGCTGTCTGCTTCCTTTTGTGTTCCAGTGTGCGTGTGCGGATGGGGGGTGGGGGGGGATGGGCTCAATGTACCAAAAATACCAAGATCAGACAGCAGCCCCCCCGCACACACACACACACACACATGACACATGCCCAGCCCTTCCCTTTTGCCAAATTGCAGTCCCCCACCTGTCACTCAATCTCCCCCTTATCACACTCATGAACACTCTCAAAAACAGCACAGATGGGGAATGATCTGATTAAAATGATTTAGTGATTGAGGGGATTTCACTGCTGAGACGCACCCCCCCTCCACACACACACACACACACACATTCTGCTGCTGCTGCCACTGCAAGGCGGCGACAGGTGGATCGATCCAGAGCCAAAGTATTGCTTTGTGACTGCTTTGTCGATGTCAGCACATTGCGTTTGACTTACATTCAGCCACAATGTGCCTTTCAGAGTTTTGTTTCTTATGATAGCACTTGTTGGAGCCAGTGGCAGTATTGATCAGGGCAGAACTGTGCAGCAAAGACTCATTAATATTTGACTCCCAAGGCTTGCTGAACCTGGCACTTACAAAAAGCTTCCTGTAAAGGTTCCATATTGATTAGAGGTTTGGGTGAGATATTTCAAAGGTTATTGAGATCATGAAGATGTTCCATTCATTTATTCCAATTAATAAAATATTTTACATGTCTTTATTAAATGTCTTTTTCCTTTCCCAGGCTACATCCACGATTACACCATCCCCTCAGTTTTGCAGAGCACAAAGCAGCCAGGTCATGAGCAGACCGGGCTCTCCTCAGGACCCCTGTACTCCCCAGATGGCAGCGGCGGGGAAGAGTACTCCGACCATGACATGGAGCATCCGGACAGCCCCGTCTCCAGTGACACAGTCGAGTCAGACAGTAGTGTCCCTGAGTTGGAGGCGTGCACCCTTGACGCCTTCCTCATCTCTGACGGCCGCTCCCGCCGGAGACCCAACCAGAGGTGTCCCCGCAAGGGAGGCAGTCAGTCGGACAGCAGCGAGGGTGTTGAATCAGCAGACTGCAGCCCTGCTAAAGGGAAATCTAAAGGTCGCTACGTGTGCAGCGAGTGCGGAAAGTCTTACGCCACATCCTCCAATCTGAGCAGACACAAGCAGACTCACCGTAGCCTGGACAGCCAACAGGCCAGGAAGTGTCCCACATGCCACAAGGTGTACGTGTCCATGCCAGCGCTGGCAATGCACATGCTGACCCATGACCTGAAGCATGACTGCACGGTGTGCGGCAAAGCTTTCAGTCGACCCTGGCTCCTGCAGGGCCACATGAGGTCCCATACAGGGGAGAAACCATTCGCCTGCGCACACTGCGGCAAAGCTTTTGCCGACCGCTCCAACCTGCGCGCCCACATGCAGACACACTCTGCCTTCAAGCACTACTCCTGCAAACGCTGCCACAAAAGCTTCGCACTCAAGTCCTACCTGAACAAGCACTACGAGTCGGCCTGCTTCAAAGGCTACCAAGCAGAAGACGACTGCAGCTCTGAGGACTGAGTGGGAAATATTCATCTCTTTCATTTCTATTTATACACTTTTTAATAGTTCAAAGTCAGAGAAGAGCTTGTCACTTCACTTCTCAGGCTCGTCACATGCATGCATCATACTCCTGCCTTTTGATATAAGCAATAACCCAATTTGAAATTGTTCAGGAATTATGTATGAAATTCATAAAAATCTCAGTGTTGATCAGAGACATAAAATATTTTATATTGTTTTTTATAAATTGAATTGCAATAATTTACATGCAAGTAATATTTTAAATGCCAACTAGCTCTTACTTTACCTCAAACATTTCTTATTCATTAAATAATTTATTTGTGTATTTATTAATTTATTTAACTATTTATTTGCCAATTTTTCAAAGATGATTTATTTATTATGGGTTGATGTATTTGTGAATTTAACATGGATTTATTAGAAGCCGTGTACTGGATTTGTTGAAAACAAAAGCCAAAATATATTCTGACACTCTATATTCCTCTGTCTGATCAATTTGGTGATGACAATAAAACTGATGAAAATGAATAATTACTGAAACTCCCTTTAATCATGTCTGAATGTATGCAAAACACACTTAGGCTGTATTTAAAATGACCAGTTAAAGAAATATTAAATTCACTGAACTCACAATATAGCTCTGTCCCGTTTTCAAAAACTCGAGCTGAAACCAAATCAAACTGACATGTAAGCCCTTCTTCTAAACTTCTGTGTAGAATGAACTTTGTTGCATTCATTCACGTGTTCTGTACTGTCCTTTTTGAAGTAGTTTGGCTTCTGGTCCAGCTAGGCCTGTTGCATGCCCTGTTGATCCATCTATCAGTAAACTAAGCTAACAAACAAAAATGGTGGACACTGGCAAGCAAAGCCATGCTGATTGGACAATTCCAACACCGCAGACTCTGAGAGGCAGTGTGTGGATGTATTTTAGGTTCTACATCGGGGTGCTACAAAGACGTCCCTGACAACAAATCATATTTCTGTAGTCTGTCCATTTCTAACCCCTCTGAGCAGGGTAGCTGTATTCCCTCCACCCAGTGGATGCTGAGACAAACTTCAACCTGTCATTCTGAAAAGAAATAAAGCCTGTCCCAGCTCAGGCTTGATCCTACAAAGACTTAATGTGTCATAATGGGCCTGAAAAATGTCCCCAAATTTAGAGGACAAAAACTGCTGTATGCCTTGACTGTTAGTAACCTTTGGTACACTGCTATTTATGCATCACAACTCGTGCACCACCTCTTTGGGGTTCCCAACCCCAAGATTGACAATCTCTGGATTAGAACATCTCATACAGGAAGAAGCCACAGGTTCAGTTTGGCTTTTTTGTGGGCCATGTCCTTCAGATGAACTGGGGTGAACAGGGTGAGTGTGAAAAAACATTTGAATATTTCCATCACTGCAGTGCTTCCTCTGACCAGCAGAGGGGGGGGCAAACATGTAAACACTACATAATAAAATGGAATGGTCAGGACTCCACACATAAGGAAGATTAATGTGTTAGTCAAAACAGCCACATTCAAATCCACAGCAGGTGGTGTCAGCAGCACCCAGATTTCTTAGACGGTCCACAGATGAACACATCCCTGATAAACATAGAAATGATCACCATTAATATTTATAGGAAGATGAAAACATTTTAATGTATTAAATTTACTTTATAACAAACAATATGTCAGCAATATGTGTAAAGTAAGTACATGAAGTAACTTTGTTTAAATCTATTATTGTAAAAATTAGTTCACCATCGATTCAATCCAGCAAGTAGGTAGTATTGTAGTACTTAGTGTGTCTTCCCTTACCTATAAGTACTGCGCTGACCCTTCTTGGCATCGAGTGTACAAGTTCACAGCACATAGTCCTGTCTATCCTGTTCTGCTCCTTAACTTGTTCCTGAGGTTGAGGATGGGTGACAAACTTTGCTTTTGAAGAATGTTTAGGATTACTGTCATGCTGAAAAATTGCCCCATGACCCAGGGTGTGGTGAGAAGGTACCCATGTCTTGTTCAAGGTTTCTCGTTTGCAAATTCATGATGCCATTAATAAACTACAATTCCCACACACCTTCAGCACTCATGCACCTCCATTTAAGAACTCCACCACTGTATGACTGTGGAGACCATGCAATTCTCACTGTACTGCTCCCCTTTCTGATTCCACACATTTTGGATGCCATCAGATCCAAAAAGACGGACTTTGTCCTCAACAGACCAGAGTATGGATTCCCAAAAGTCTTCACCTTTGTCCGTGTGGTCCTTGGCAAAGGTACAAAGCAAAACAGACTTGTGCTTTGGATTCAGCAAAACCATGCATGGCACTTCTATGCAGGTTGTGTCTCTCTTTGTGAGATGAAACAGTCACTACACTTTGGCTTTCCACATCTTCTGCCAGCTCTGAGGCACTTGCTTGCTGATTCTCCTGCACAAACTCCCTTATCGCAGGGTGATCGCTTACGGCAACGGCCTGGATGCTTCCATCCTTTTTGAAGTAATTCCTTTTTGAATATCTGTGTTATTTTTGCTGCTGTATTCCGAGCAATAGCAATGATTTGCTAACTTGTACCCTTGTCCTCTTCTGTTCAATGAAATTATTCTCTTTCTCAAGTTTCCAGTCAATTATCTCCATATTGTTGCCAGCATTAAGTCTGAGAGTGATTCAGTGGGTTAAGTACCACTTCAATTGTCAACTAATTGTGTCTGTTTTAATGGGACGGTTCAACAAACATCCGGTGATCAATAACCCTTAACAGCCCCCCCCCTAATTTTATGAAGTGTTATTTTGTAACTTTCAGGAAGGTGTACTCGTTTTTTCAATCATATTGGTAACTGATAAAGGAGAGTTAGCGGGACATTACATCAATCAGAAACCCCAAATATGTCTTATTCGTAAAGACAAATCACTGAATGGGTTTAAGAGAGCAATCCTGGCCCTTCACAGCAAAGCGCTGTAGCCTGACCACAGGATGTGCTCTGGGTCAGGTGTCATGAGAACTGGGCTGCTGGTCCAGACTAGACAGAGCTGAGCCCTCAGTAGCCCTCAGCCACCAACCCCTAAAGGGAAATGCAAGAATGTGTCTCAATAGACCACAGACTGAAGATGGCTATTTTCAGACACAAAATGGCCACTCTTCAAAAATCATACTCATGACTGTACATACTGTGTACACACTATAGGAGAATAGAATCAACTTAGCCTGATAGGAAGATAAAAACAACTTTCTTCCATGTGCTGTATGTAAAACTGAAGTAGTGGACTCGCACAGCCTCCAAATCGGAACAAGTTAAGTGATCCCTGAATGTTGGCTTACTAGTTAGCAAGTCAGCAATCAAGGCCACAAATATAAATAAGCCACGGAAGAAGTAACTGGAAGGCGTATTCCTCCTCTTTTTGGGGAGACCACACGAAGCCTTTTAATGCAGCTTCAAAAACAATTACTGGTTAATATAATGGATCTTGAACAATAAATAAATCATTTAATACATTGTCTATTGTCAGAGATGTAACAACAACTCATCTTTATTTAATAATTTCAGTCATTTACAAAGCACAAATGTTGAGCCATCATTTTCTTCAGTTTCTTAAATGTGAAGATTTGCTGCTTTTCTTAGTTTTATATTGTTGTACATATAGAATATCTTTGGGGTTTAGATTGCTGTTCGGGCAAAACAAGTAATTTGAAGACATCACCCAGGCTCTGGGAAGTTTTAATAAAAATAAAATTATCAACATATTGACAAAAATACAAGAAAATATAACAATGAAAATTGCAGCCCTTAAATAAACACAGACCAATCTTTCCATAGAAGGACAAAATGAAAGAAGTGACTTCCTCGACCCCTTTACGCCCCAGGCCCAGACTCTGAAAAGAATATAACCATAAAAACAAGTAATCATGCTCTACTGTACATGTCGTCAGACATAAAACTTCCACCACAGACAAAGGAACAGAGCACCGCTGCAGGTCAACACTGCTTGCCAATCACCACAGAGGATATGACCGCAAGATAGTGACCACAAGGCCAAAGCGGATGAGTCTTTTTATAGCCTCCTTTATCAGACCTCAAGCCATGTCTGTTACATCGTGTCAGACAAGGTTTTATAGCCAACTTGTAGATTTCTCTGGTGCGATAAACTCTGTTGACCCGTGGAGGCCTTGGCTCTGAGGTCCCAGGTGACTCTGGAGGAAGCCGGCAGACGTGGGCCTGAGGAACATCAAGCCCAGCCTGGTGGATATTAAAGGCAGCGGTGGGCTTCTACAAAAGAATCATTGCGTGTGAGTCGACTTCCTGTTTCGCAGGGGTGGACTTGATGTTCTGGCTCTTTGGGGGCCTTTAGGGAGTCAATGGGAGATGATGACACACTGGTTCACCAGCCCCAGGATCGAGAAACACCTGCTTCTTTTAGATTTTAGTCCCCTAAAGTAGCCTCAGGGTGTTACCTTTAGGGGCTCAAAGTGTAACACAAGAAAACGTCACTTATAAAACTGCGATTTTCACATTTGGAACCCGGGACCAATCTCTGACAGTGATTTCATGTTAAAAGACAAATTGGCATCTTCAAATAAAGAATTTGTCAAGTTGAGTCTTCAAACCAGAGGTGAGACAAACGGATATGGCTGAGACCATCTGCTGAACTTCGACCGTCACACTGCCCCACCTGTCTTGTTTCTCAGACTGTCGGGAGCTGTGAAAGACAATCAGCGTGTTTGGGAAAAAGCGGGGGAGAGATGGAGGAGGGTGGTGGAGTGGGAGGCAGATGAGGGCTCAGTCTTATCTTGAGGTCACAGTGAGGGTCAAATGAAACACAATACTGTTGCTACTGCTTTGCTCTGCATGAGAAGCACTGACTAATTTACCACAGGAGACGTCCGGACTGATGAATATGTCACAAGTCATCTTCTGGGTTAACTGAGGGTTTCAGCTGCTACATTCATTGGCACTATGTTTGATGATGAACAAGACAGCAAAATACAAAATTGTACAAAATCATAAGCTCACTGACTGTGTCTGGGAAACCTTTTGCTGCTTTACCTGTAATCATTTTAGTGTATTATTTATACTGTTGAGGTTTGGACTGTTGATTGGACACAACAAGGACAGAGAAGCTGTCACTTTGGGCTCTGGACGGCATTTCTCACTATTTTCAGAAATGTTACAAACCAAACAAGCAGTCGATTAGTGGAGAAAATAATCAGCAGATTAATCGGCAGTCAAGCAATCAACCATAAATTGTGGTCCGATACAAAATAGTTCCACCGGTAAAATCCAGCTTTTACATTAAT